TTGTTGTTGTTGTTGTTGTCGTCTGATTACTGTACATCTTTCACCTCCTGTCACATGAAATAATACCCCACACAGACTTAATTGCAAACATTTTATTCAATACGATTTGCACATCAAAACATATCAAAACCAGTTACAGAGAAGAAAATACACTACAATGCACATTACATTATCAAACTACAGATCACTCATACTGAGGAACTGACTTTCTTTCTTCATGGAGCAGCAATGAGCAACATTCTGGTTAACTGAGGTGGCCAAACAGCTGAGACTAACTCCTTTTTATAGCCTCAAAATCCCAGCAATTTCCTATCAGTGCACGTGTTTTCTACTTCTCCATGAATGTGAATCCAGCAGTTTTTTTTATTCTATTGTGCTAAATCTTTTGCAGCTATGATTTTCCTCTCAAAATAACACAATTGAAAGAGAGCGATGTGTTTTCCTCTAGTTAAAAACCCAGCATTTTAAAACTTTTTGATATATGATTTCAATAAATCTCAACTGTGGCTCATTTAAGTTTGTCCATTTAAAAAATAAATCAGGCTGACCAGCACAGAAAAGCCAATTTAAATCTTTACACACTCAGACTTAACAAAAAAAAAAAAAAAAAAAGGATATAAGGATAACTTTCTATACCCAATTTTCATGTAAACATGTTTCCCCATTAAAATAGTAAAAGATCCATGAATTGAAGAGCATTTGATTTATCTCTTAAAAAGTTCTGCATGACTGTCAACTACATGAAATACAAAGATGGTAAAATACTTGAAGAAATTTGTTTAAATGTTACTTTTGAAAAAGAAAAAAAAAAAAAAAAAAAACACACAAAGCTTAGGGCTCATTCAAGGTATTAAACATGGACATAATATGTTATTGAGCTGTATTTGAAGGGCAGGAAAATCAAAAATATTCTGAACTTACTCACACAGAAAAAAAAAGAAGCAAACCTGGGGCACAAATTCATAAATACAATGAACAACAAACATAACATCAAGTGTTCCTCCGGGTCAGATATCTATCTTAAGACTGTAATGTGACCTTTCAAGAAAATAAAATAAGCTCAAAGAAATGCAAGAAAATGTCTTCATATGTTAGACAGCAGAAAAGGAAAAGGAAGTTTAAGAAAATCATACAGAGAAACAACTGAAACTTTAATCCAAATATCAGTCATCTTCATCATGGAAGAGAATCACTGTCCAAATCCACAACTGCTTAAGTGTTGTGTGGAAAATGTTTATTAATCGCTGTAACATTAAATAATCTTGTAACAGATCTTAGCCACATGTTACTTTTAAGGACAGCGAGCAATAATGTCAACAGCAACATGAACTGCGGTTTCTTCGACAAAATGCGATGGAAGAAACGATTATTCCAATGAGTGAAGAAGCTAAACATGTTTCATTATGTCATTATCAAAGCAACATGGCTCAGCTCAACCAACAGGAATGTCATATTTGGTCCCATGTTAAATAGCCCTGTATGTGCCCACCTCCCGGTAGAAAAGACTTTATGGGCGCTGCTGTCCTTTATTTATAGTCACTAACAAGCACCCTTGTAATTTATGGGTGCATACAATTAAAAGACCGCAACAAGGCTCAACAATGCTGGTTTATTAAATGTCTGAATGTGTTTTATTTTTGTTGTTGCATGTCCTATTGCTCAACCTACAAAGTAAAAGTCTCTGGATGATCAGGGTTTCAAAGTACGGGAGAAAAGAGTTTGAAAAGATCGAAAAAAGAAAAAGTACTTCACAGTGATAAACTGATGCCAATCAGAAGCAGGGCTGCTGGAACCTAAAATCATCATTTCTCCCTCTCACACACACACACACACACACACACACAGCTCTCTAACACTACACTGCACCTGAACCCGTGCACACAGGCATACAGACACACACACACTCTCATACACACACACACACACACACACACTTTACTGTGGTTTACCCAGGAGGCTAGACAAGAAGTTCGACCCCTGGCTCTCTCCCTGTCTACTGCCCCCTCCTCCTCCAAGGGGATCCATCTGGTTCAGTTCAGACTGATCCAGCATTTCAAAGTCCTCTCCGTCCAAGTCTGTGTCCAGCTCAGAGCTGGACTGCTTGCGGTAGCTGCGGTGGGGCCCGGCCCTAGGAGGGCCTTCTCTGCGCTGGGTAGCAGGAGGCCGAGGTTGCATTGCTCCCAACAGCGCTGCCTGGATCATGTTGCTGGCGATGACTCCAGCCAAGTCCCCCGTGAAATCAGAGGCACGTGGCAGGCCGCTGAGAGAAAGTTCTGTATCCAGATCCTCCTGGTCAGAGTCCAGATGAGCATCTACATCCAGCACTGAGGCCCGGTAACTAGCTAGCCCAGACGGACCCAGACTTGGCAGACCTATGCTTGTGTCGTCGTCATCGTCCATCAGAGTGGCATCAGGGTTTATGGAGGGGAAGTCCGGGAGGTCCTGAGCGAAGGATTCCTCGGCATCGCTGTGTCTGTCGAGATCTGACCAAGTGACCGACAGGGACAAGGTGAGACTACACACCAGAAAATAAAAAGGAATAGGGAGTTTGCTATGCCTGCATACTCACCCTCAGAGCCCTCTGTCAACGGGGTCTGGCCACGTGATAGGTTAAATGTTCCATTTTCAGTGTAGGACACCTCAGCATCAGAGTGCTCCGAGTCAGTCAGAGCAAGTTCCTTCGCAACAACCGCATCATCAAACTGGGAACGACAACAGATTGAAAAGGTTAAATATTTTATAAGTGGTGACAAAATCTTTGAATAAACTGTCAAAATCTGACATAAAGGGTTTGCTAAACTTGTAGAGTGTTGCTATATTTCCTCTCTGTTTGTGCTCATACATCCTGCAAGCTTCACTATACAGACACACACCCACTAAGGTGTCAATAAAAACACACAGTAGATACAGCACATCATGTGAAGTTCTTAACCCCAACAGGAAGTGGCTCAGATGTTTTGTAACTAACACGGTTTGCAGTGAATGTTGTATCTGTACATTTTACCTTTCTACACCTTCACTGAGCGGCTTAAGAACAGTTCATTTCTCATAGAATTAACAATCTGCTAAAGTGTTGACAGTACACAAACAGAACTCCGCTCTTAACACACAAACCATCAGTGTTTATAATGCACACTGAACAAATGTCCATGTTAAGTGAAGGTAAATCATGGATTTAGGGTCTTCAGTGAATCATGCTGTCACAACTACCATGTGAGAGCACAACGTGAAGAAAACCTTTCACACATTTTCTACTGGGGAAAAAACAGACAAACAGACAAATTGGAGGACTGCTGTTCCTCATGATAACAAGTCAGGTCCAACGACTGATTAACCGAAAATAAGATGACCATATTCACTAACATCACATGTCAACAGAATTAGTGAGAGAATAAACAGATGATAAACATACTGATGGGCAGAAAGCAGCCAACTCCTCCTCACTGTCACTGGCTTCGCCTGACGCTGCACCGTGGATGGGCATCCGTAGGACTGCAGGGCAGAACGAAACAAACGCACAAACGCAAATGATTACTAAACTCACTGGAACCGGAGGAGGGAAAAAGAAACATTTAATGTACTACTTACACTGATTATCAATAGGCTTTTTCATCATGTATCCACAAACACTGAAGTCCAGCCGCTGCAGGACCGGCTCCAGCCTCACATACACATGCTGAAACACCCTGTGATAGGCTCCCAGAGGGGCCAGGAGAGTAGCTAACACTAGAGGAGAGGAAAATTAGAAAAACAGCCATTATAAAAAGGAGGAGGCAATTCTGTTGGGCTTATTGAGTACACATAAGAAAGTTATTCATTTGGGTTCTGTGCAGATTCAGTTTCTAAATTCCTCTCGCGCCTGTGTTAGCTCCAGTAGAGCTACAGGCAGAGGGAGGCAGAGGGAGTTAACAGGTAGAGTACAAGCTGCTGTGGATTGTTTCAGACGTCAGAGCAGAGGGCCTCGGCTGCTCTCGCCCCCCCGTGGCTCTCCGTAGCACACTGGTTGGAGGTTGGGAGATTAGCCTGTTCTCAGTATGACCTCCTTAGCTTTCTGCCTGGCTACCTTCCCTCCTTTCTTCGTGTGTCTCATCCTGCCTTTAATCACTTCGCAGGCTAGGCCCTGGTACTGGGGCCCCCACAGATCTGGTTTCACCGCCCATGCATTTTTAACAGGACCAGTCAGGACGAGTTGGATGAGTTTCCCTGCCAACAAGGTCCAGCTAAGGAGCCTGGATCTGTAGTTAGAACCAGTTAAACTTCTGGGACTCACCAGCGGAGTAGGAGAGCACCAATCCGGGAATGTAGCGCCCAACCGTAGCCAAACAGGTGAACACTCCACAGGTCAGGAGGCAAAACTGACAGAGAGCAACACACAGTGAAGTCACTATGATTAGGTATAATTACTACAATTATAAAATGGGACATGGTGCCTAGTTTGAGAACAGTAAAATTTAGATTACTCAGATTTCTCCTTCGTCTATTCGTTTAATTAAATGTGACAGAAATTAAATACAGTTTAAAAGGTGTGTTTCCATTCCAAAAACAGATGGTTTTCTAGAAATCGTATATGTGTATTTTCATGTTGTGTGTGGTCCTCACCTTGCCGGGGTTATGTCGTTTGTACTGCACCATAGCGGATGCAAGAACTGACACACTGACCCAGGCCTCAGCCATGTGGTGGCACAGTTCAGGCACACTGAGGATGCCAGGCTGCACCAGACCCCAGCTAGAAAAGAGAGGAAATGATTATGAACACCTGAATCTGCTGTCAACGTACCACTATTACTGCTGGCAATATGTTTAAGGGAATACTGGCGGTTATAGTAACAAACCTCTCATTTTCTGATTCGTCAAGTTTTCTGACTGTGGAGAGAGAGAACATCCCTCACATTACATTACATAATGCACATCAGTGTTACATATACTGAGCCTACATGAGAGAAAAAGTAGTCCAAATTGTGTTGCACATGTTGCACTTAGCCTGTTAAGAGAAGTTCAACAAGAGAGTAACTGTTCAATGTGTGAAACAGATCACTAGCAAAGTCCAGAGTGAAGCACTGCTGACTGACGGCATATCTACTCTGACAAAGTACACTGGGAATAATGGTACAATGGTACGATTAATATGAGAGAGAAGGAAAAGTACAGAGTCTGTTAGACAGATCTGAAGAGCCCCCCATAAAAAACAACTTGTAGCACCTCTAATCTCTGGCCAGATCTTATTTCTCCAGGTATCAACACAAACAAGAACAGCCAGACCAGAAGCCAGAAGGAACAGCAGGCGCAGTGAGGTGAGAGCGAAGAACCTGGAGGAGAATAAAAACACATGAACAGAAACTTATTACCCTGAGAGTAAGTTATAAACAAAGTTAGACAATTATATATTTAATACAGGATTCATGAAACCGCAAAAAACCTTTTGAGTGATCTGTTTCCTCTAATGTAAGAAAAGAGGAAGTAATCCCACCCTCTGCTGTGTGTTACACCCATTAGTTATTATACAGAAATCAACTTTTGACAAAACAGAAGAATATTCGATTTTCCTCTTCAGAACTTATGGCATTGCTGTAATTTAAATAAAATGTAGAGGTGACAAATCAGTGAAGTGTAGACTCACATTCAGTAACAATGAAAAAGCGACAGGCTGCATCTAGATGATGATATCACAAGTTCGTAAGTGTTCACACAAACTGATTTCACTTCCCTCACCTCAACAATGAAAAGTGTTGCTGCACTTTCAAATAACAAGACTTTCAAATGTGTTGACCACAACAATGTTACAGGATTAGTTAGCAGTTAGAGATTAACCTAACAAAGAATGTGTTGGCAGAGCGAGGTATATTGGTATTTGGGGTAGCAGTGCAATTAGCAGCTACAGTTCTGTTTTCCATTGGGTTCTTTAAGAAGGAAAATCAAGACCACCTCAGTGCCCTAATGTCAGAGGGTTTGCCCATATCGGCTCCCCGTCTCTTTTTGACCTGCCGTCGTCAGTGTAGGTTATGAATGCATCTCTTGGGGCAGAAACGCGCCCGCACCACTGAGTGTGTGCTGAAGCACGAGTAAATAGGAGCCAGGACTAGCGGCCTAACATGCCCAGTGGTCTAATCGAATAAAGGCTGGATGCCTGAGCTCCACATGCAGGCCGGCCAGCCTCTCTTTCCCTCTCTGTGTCCCAGGTCAGTGATTCTTACCGTACAACAATATCCAGGTCACATAGTTTAGCCAAAACATGTCCCAGTCCCAGACTTTCTCCTACTGAGCGCTTCTGTACTTTCTTCTTGATGTTTCTTGTCTTACTTACTTACTTAATACTCTTAAGTTTAGGGCTGACCTAGTGGTGAAGCTGTAAAACAGAGACCTATATAAATGCACTGCTATTCACTGACATGTGCTTGACACTTCACGCCTCACAGATTCGCTGCACCAAAAGCCGCATTCATAGAAAAACACTCAAAAATGAATTTCCTCTCACTTCTGTAATGACACCTCATTGACCTGTAAATGGCAACCTCAATGTTACAGCCTCCCACAGTCATGCAGCAACAATGAAATTGGTAACGCGGATAACGCAGGGCACCACACTGTTTTCAAGATTAGGAAAACGGTTCAGTTAGGAGCAACATCAGACTGAAGGTAGTCTTTAGGGTCTGTCTATAAATAGTGCCACCAGCCAGCCATCTGTGCTGTCTTGAATTGACAGGTGAAACATTTGCATTGTGTAAAAAAAGAGCACCAGCTGCTTTCCCCTAACGACCAAACAGCCTCTGCATTGTCTGAATGTAGGTTGCTATAATAAACCCTGAAACAAACAGAGAGACAGAGAGAGAAAACAGAACAAGTTTGTATCAAAAAAAACAACATGTTCCTAAGTTTAACATCAGCTGAAAACTCACCAGAACACGATGTTGACCACAATGTAGAGAAGCACACACTGAAGGGGTCTTTCCCACACTAGGACGGACTGCAGGTAGGTCAGAACCGGCTCGTAGGGCCCCAACCTGGACTGGAGAGCAGCTTTGACAGCCCGTACCTGACCGTCTCTCTCGCTGGAGCATGGTCGACTCCGCAGGCAGACACCAGACCTCTGCCTGGAGGAGCAATCCTCTTCCATTGCCCCGGTGTGAGCCATCTTTAGCGTCTAGCGTCGGCAGAGTAAGCCTGAAACAAATAAAAGACTTCAGTGGAAACAGCTAACCCGTTTCACAACATCAGACCTATGCTTTACGGCTTTATACTAACAGCTAGCACACATCGAGCTGAATCATCGTGTTAGTGTCTGACAGGAAATATCTGAGTATATTAGAAGCAGCCGCGTTAAAAGACAACGTGGGTAACATTTTAAAAGAAGGTGACTCTTACTATTTTGTCATTTTTCGCTGTCTTTTAGAGGCTGACAATATGGCGTAACCTGTTTTTTTCTTTCTGAGCCCTCCGCGGTCCAATCAGAATCGGCGCGAGCGCTTGCGCTTGTGCTGCCTTCAGGTGAAACAGGATTTTTTTTTATTTGTTGTTTACTTCGCAACGGTCGAACAAATCAGCCTTGACAACCGCGTTGAGGCTGGAAATATTATGTGTGTTATGTTGTATTGCTTTCTGTGAACCAAATGAAGGATAATATCTATAAACATCATGTTATTTTGTTTACTTTTTTATGTGTATCCTAAGTCAGAAACATTTAAATGTCAGAAACAGTAAGTCCGAACTCTGATTACAAATTATTAAAGGGACTTTCAATGAAAGAGTTCGTTATTGTCTTATTAAATATATTTTAATGTATTTTAGGTGGAAGTTTTAGTACACAAAAGTGTCTGCAATTGAAAGAACTACACTGGAAGTACTACTATGCTATTGTGTGTAACTTGACTACGTTCGCAAAATTCAGCTGTAGTTACTGACTGTGATGGCAGCAAAAACACGACTTTAAATACGATTATAAACAGTAGAGACAGAAACGGTAGACTTATAATAAGTGGGTGTAATGTTTACTCTTGTCTTGTATAATGATTATCACCATTAACGTGCTGTGCAAACAAAGTGGTATAAGACTATCAGAGCACCAAGAGCAGAAGGCGCAATACCACAAACTATAAAGTCCCCAGTTTGTTACATGTAATACCTCTCTCTCTTAGCTTTTCCTGTCCGTATCTCTACTGTCACTGTCAAATTAAGTCAAAATATAAAACCTACTACTACTAGTACTACCTAGATAAGTCAATACTAATAATAAAGATAATAATAATAAAACTTTCAAATTACATGGGTGCAGTTACCATATGAGGGACAGTACTGAAACGTCAAGTCGGAAATAATAGCACACTCATACTTCCGGCGTTACCTTCAAAATAAAAGTATTTTATTGTAGGCAGCGAATTCAAACCCGATAATGGAGGCCTTCTCTTGTGGCGTTATCCGTTTGTCTGCTTTGAACTGATCGATTAGTCTGCTTTATGACTCCACACACTCCGATACAGTAGGCTATGTTTTGCTAAATGTCGGGTTTGCGGTCCGTTAATAAACAAGAGGAGCGGGAAGCACCGGGCCGGCGGTGAAGCTGTTTTTTCGTGCAGCACATTTTCCTTCTTGTATTATTTCGTCAAGATAGCCAGCGAGCTAAATAAGCAGCGACCGAAGAGTGAACATGCCACGGGAAATAATAACGCTTCAGCTCGGGCAGTGTGGAAATCAAAGTAAGACGTAATTGAAATGTAATGGTTTCAACATCACTCTGCTCTTTCACACAACCAGAAGAACAAATAACGTGTTGTTTGAGTCAGCTAGCTGAGATGATCTGTGCTGCGTAGGAACTGCTGTGTAACGACGTTAGCTTCTACAGCATTTCATTATAGTTTCATTCAATATAAGTCAGCTCTCTTGTGATATAATTTATCGGGTCAAATGTAACATAACACAAGCCAACGTTATAGCTTATATGTGCAGTGTCATTCAGATAACGTTGCATGTTAATTGGCGTGTTTTCTGCTTTCTCTACTGAACCTGTAAGGTCACAAAATGGATAATTAACACCACCGGACGTTAACGTGTTGCTAACCAGCTCCTTTATCTGATTTGCAGTCGGGTTTGAGTTTTGGAAGCAGCTGTGTGCAGAACATGGTATCAGTCCAGAGGGCATAGTGGAGGAGTTTGCAACTGAAGGCACCGACAGAAAGGATGTGTTCTTCTATCAGGTATGTTGTTGAAGCACTGACTGCTTCACTTTGTTATCTCTCAGATGAAGAAGTATTAACCCTCCATTTGTGTCCACTTCACTTTTAGCTGTGTCAATGCATATGGAATGATATTTCCCAAGGGTCTGGATTTTTTTCAGATTTTTTAATTTTCAAAACCTGCTCTTTAAATATGTCAATATTATACTGTATATCTCCAATTGTACCTCGTGGCTCTATCGTGGACACTTTTGGCCAATTGAAACCCATGAAAACTAAATTTTTTAATTCCTTGTGATTTACAGTATTAAATCATATAATTTAGGTAAAATGGCTTTCATTCTAAACTCAACACTTCAAAATTTTAGTTTTTAATGTTTTCTACCAGATTATGTCATTGGCCAAGGGAGCAATTTTTATTCTTAGTTATCACTAAAAAATCAAGTCAGTAAAAGTGAATTTTTATATATATATATATATATATATATATTTTATAGCATTTTGGAAATGTAAACAGGAGGTGGCCATTTTTGGCCACG